GCGCTTTATCTGAGGCTCGTTGCTCTCTGGACCACGAAGGAAGAAAACTACGCAGATTTTGGAATATATGTAAAAAAAGTAGTCTCCTCGTGCACTCGAAATCTGTTAATTGAGATAAATTGGATTGAATAAGGGGTGATGAGTGCTGTAAAATGTGTATTTTACATAGGTGGATTCTCTACTTTATGAAGACAAATATTCCAATACAAATATTCAGTATATGCCATGAATTTTCGAAAGACTGCACTACTACAATGTCTCCGGGCAAATCCTAATAACTGCTGGCAATACGCGTAAAATAAACGTTTTATAGGCAATATAAATGTGGATTATGTGAAATATAAAAATATTGCCGCCACAAATTTTGCAGCAGCAAGCCAAAATTCTGTACGTATTTCTAAATTTCCCATAATCCAAATAGCTTGTTGCTGTAACAATTGAGAATTCGAACGACGATGGCACCTGTATATTAGTTCCAGTAATAAAGTCTGCGTGATCGAGACTTGCGTTTGTTCATAATTTTCTTTTCTTTCCGTTTTTTAAATCTCTTCTTCTAAATCTTTCTTTTTAAATTTTTTTCCTTGCTTTTCCATTCCTTCTTCACCCCAAAATTACTCCATCCATTTGCATTATCAGACCCCTTCGTTTCTTCTGTTTGTTGCCTTCTTTTCTTTCTCCTTTAAGCACTGCGACCGTCATACTGACGAGGTCCTGTCACTGTGTTGAGTTAAAATGTATACGATTTAATGAATCGAAACGTTTTATCTCATTCTTACTTCCTTATTTTTTTTTTCAAATTTTCTTGACGAAAGTCCAACAAATCACTGAACCAATAAAGTAAATTTTGTGGGGCGTACACACACAAGAGCCTCATTGGCTCAGGGGCAGAGCGTCTGTCTAGTAAACAGAAGGTCGCTGGTTCGATTCCAGCATGAGGCATCGGCTTTCACCTCGTGAAAGCGACATTTTTTCAGCTTATGGTTGCGGAGAACCAGGAATTTTCTCCAAACAACACTTCTTTTGGTATTAGTTAGGCAGCTCAGCGTAAAAGGGTCTGACACATAGCGACCGGATACATTCAAGTTTTGAGATGGAAAGTCCTACTGCCTGCACTAATTCCTTTTTTACCTCGAACAAAGGAAAACCAATAACTCGAATTTAAGAAAGCACATAAATGATGGCAATAAAAATGCAACAAAACTATGTTTTTGAAATATTAGTGATAAAAGAAAGAATAAAAAAGATGGATTTCAAGCATTATTTTTTGCGCTTATCATTCATAATTATTCTTTAAAAATGCATTCTTATTACTAATATTTAAACACGGAAAAATATGTGTCACAAAATATCAAATATTTTTCAGTGGGCGAAGGGGTTTCCACGTTGTAATTACCCTATCCACCTCTCCGGCGGTGAGAGCAACCGAACTTGTCAGGCCTGATGGATTCTTCACATTGACTATCCAGGCAGTTTTGCTAATTCCATGTTTAGCGTTTAATTTTCGACACTACTGCTCAGCTAAAGTGCGTTCTGGCCGCTGGAATTCAGCAAGACGCAGGGGACCGGGTTCCTATTTTGTTAAGACATACCAGGACTTCCGGACAAATGGTGTGAGGATTCCATGCATTAAAATGTATAAATATTAACAATCGAAAAGTTGCAACCACTTAATTACAACACTTTTTATTTTTATGCCTTTTTGCTGTGCAGCGTTATAAAAGATTTTGTACTTCGCCCATTCATACGTGAAGGGATCCAATGCATTAAAATGTTGAGTCATATAAAACTTAACAATAGAAATGTTTCAGCCAGTTAATTACACTATTTTTATGCGTTTTTGCTGTGCAGCGCTATAGAAGATACTGTACTTCGTCCATTTAGCCAGAGTCACACGGACTACAGCAATGAAGTC